TCTCTCGTTTATTCTGTGTTGTGAAAAATCAGCCTTGAATACCATAGTGAGCGCCTCTGGTCAACAGTATTGAACACTATATCCAACCTTGTCCTTGATCTTTGAAAATGGGAAGTTAATTTGCAGCCTTTTGGGAAGACAGATAAGAATTGAAGCACAACAAAGAGGCAGTGTATACCTTTAAGGGAGCTACGCTTTTTTGGGGGGCGGGGGGGTTCTTCTCTGAAGTTTTGGTCAGTTTGTAGTTTATAGGTTCGAAGTTGATACATTGGAAGTGGAGGTGAAGTTGGACCACTGAACTTTGGGGGAGGCCACGAATTCCACTGAGTCAAGAAAATAACTGAACTAGAAAGCCGTTTGATAATGTGATAATACAGGGCACGTTTTCTTACCTTCTCAACTATCCATAGTTGTTAGAAGGTATGATTTCCAAGAGCACAAGTCCAGAAACAAGCTGCCTTTCCTTGGCTTCCTTGTATCCCACTAGAGGAATTAATTTAATTTGGTCTCAGTAAGTATCTCCTCAGCTTTGGATACTAACAAAAAGCTTGATTTTTTAGAAAGAAAAAGACATGCACAAGGTCTTCAAGAAGTTTATACAAAATACACATAAAAAATATGCATGATTGCAATTTTTTGCATCAGTATAAACACATTTTAATTCCATTTTCCATGAAGTTTTGGAAATCGCCAGTATGTCAGCAGCAAGAGTGATTTTATGGCATGGTCTCCGGGCTCCTCCTGCCTTTGTTTTTAACAGTGGACTAGACAGAGACACCCTTGACCTTTCTGTCAGAAGATGAGATTCCAGCTGGTTCGTATTTTGCTTTAACATCAATTGTTGGTTTTTAAAGCTCAAAATCTTTAGTCTTCCATCTCTTCACCCAAGTTTACACATCGCCTTTACTTGAGCTCAAAAAGTGACCTTTATATTATGCCTCACCCATACATGCATTCCGTCATTTATTCAACTAACTCTTACTGCTCATCTACGGTAAAGCAGGCACTATGCTATATCCCAGGGCTGCCTTGAATGTAACAGAATCCCTCTTCTTGTGGAGCTCACATTCCAGAAGGGGAGCTAAGTAATAAGTAAACATATGTATCCAAGTGAGATGTGAAGCAAATGTGTTTTGAGCAGATGACTAAGTTGATGTAACTTATATTGTGAAACCGCCATTCTTGTTGCTGGTAGGAGCATGTACAAGGGTGGAAGTAGAATAACTCATGAAGTTATGTATTAGTATGGTACAAGTCCGAAGAGTATTTGTTAGTTATGACAGATGGAGAAATCGTTGGATTTGCAATCAATACAGGCTGCCCAGTTGATGGGGGAGGGTGTGGTAAGAGGAATCAGAGTCAAACTTATATTGAATGGTGATGAGGAAGCAGGTCCCATCATATTCCTCTTGGAGGGGCCTGTGGGCTTCTGCCGTGGTAGCCCAGTCCTCTTCCAGGAGTAAGAGAATAGAAGGACTGCCTTGGGGTGTTTGGAATGATAGAAAGTAGTTTTTACTAGGCAAAGAGACAGGAAATGGGCCCTACTATCTGGAGCGGTGTACTAAGCTTCCTTCCCTTCCCTGTGTGGTTTGCTAGCAGTTTACCAGCTTCTCCACTGATGGGTTAACAGTGGCTCCCCACCCTGCCTTCCCTACTGTCAATCAGTCGGCTAACTAGCTATCAGTCAGCTTACATATTTTTTTTTCTTTTTTTTGGAGAGGTTTTTGCTATAGGGCGCACGCGCTCGCCAGACAGACAGAGAGAGACAGAGACAGAAAGCGAGAAATCACCCCCCAGGGGAGATGGCCACACTGCAATCCCTTTTCCTCCATTCTCCTCTCGGGATCTTGGGCACGCACACACACGCACCCGGCGTGAGTTCAAGCCACCGGGTCTGGGACTTGAACTGCAGTCGACTACATGGGAGTACAGCGACATAGCCATTACACCAACTGCTGGTCCCAGCTTACATATTGAAAGAGCAATTGATACTAGCTAGATATAGTGGAAATATGTGAAGATAATACAAATAAAATTGTTTCTTTTTTACCCATTTTCTTAGTGCAGATCATTGAAACTTCCTTATAGACTCTTAACAGCACCCTTGAAAAGCATCATTAATAGTACTTAAAAGGTAGGGCACCAAGTGGCATGGTGATTAAGGCAGTGGACTTTCACGTATGTAACTGTGGTTCAAGTCCCAGACCTGGCAACTTGAAAATTATGCTGTGGGTGCATGTGTACGCATGCTCCAAGTCCCAAGAGGAGAATGGAGAAGAAGGATTGGGGGCTTGACCATCTTCCCTAGGGAGTGATTTCTCACTTTCCCTCCCTCTGTCTCTGCGTCTCTCAGGCAAGGGTATGCACCCTATGGCCAAAAACCTTTAGAAAGAAAGAAAGAAAGGAAGAAAGGAAGGAAGGAAGGAAGGAAGGAAGGAAGGAAGGAAGGAAGGAAAGAGGGAGGGAGGGAGGAAGGAAGGAAGGAAGGAAAGAAAGGAGAAGGAAGGAAGGAAGGAAGGAAGGAGAGAGAGAGAGAGAGAGAGAGAGAGAGAGAGAGAGAGAGAGAAAGAGAGAGAGAGAGAGAGAAAGAGAAAGAAAGAAAAAGGTATTTAAGCCATCCTTGTAACTGAACTTCAGAAAAAGTCTCACTGCATTTCTGATTTTCTGGCATATGCCAAATATCGCCTGGGTATGGGGCTACCCTTCAGGCATCACGGTCCAATGAGCTGAATGTTGACCTGGGTTCAGTGTTTGCAGTTATCCCAGTTTTGTAGCTAACCTGCAGCATGGCGAGTGGCAGGTTTACTCCCCTGATTTGTCCACCATGGCGCCTTTTGCCCTTGCCAATTGGTCTCTCCACTAATTTCAGCACAAGGTTCTGAAGTGCTGATTCAGTGTGTAAGCCAATTCCTCTCAGTTAGATATGTCTAGAGAAGGGTGTTTTGCTTCATTGGGCTCCAGGAACAAATAATAAAAAGTACAGCAAGTACACGGCCGAGGACAGACCCAGTTCACTCTTATCAGTCATCTGAAAAATGCACAGCCTTTCCAAGACAAATACGGACTCCTGTTTCTAGGAAAACACCAAAAAGTACTTATCAATTACTCAGTATATGGTTTGTGGAAAAAGACAACATCAGCCTATCCTGAAAGCCATAGCAAAGCAGATTCCTTTGGGCAGCCAACGGCTGAGTGGCATGAGTTAAAGCCACTGTAGAATTCCAGACTGTGGCCTGGGACTGGTCTGTGGAGCCTTTCTTCTTCCTCACATGATTACTGTGTCCCTCACCCAAGCTACTGAACTCATCTAAGAAGAAATCTAGAAACCTGATGTGTTCATACTGAATGCCCAAGGTCCTCCGTCTTTCTCCTTTCTTTCTTTCTCTTTCTGTCCTCCTTTTTATTTTTTATGTTTTTTTTTACAATGTGTATTATTACAGCATACCAAATGAATTTTTTCATCATGAATATACTGTATATTGATTCAGTCAAAGATTTTAATACACGTATTATCATCAACAGGAGATTTTCCATTTTTATGCCCCTTAAATGTTTTGCTTTTTCCTTTTCTCCTTGATTCTCTCCCTCTCACCCTTTCCCATATCTCACCCTCCTCCCACACTGTCTCTAGTATTCACAGTTGCTCCATGCTTTCATACTTTATAATTTTCCAGTTTCTGCTATAGTGCAGACATTCGATGTATATTGAGTAGGGACATACGATGCCTCTCTTTCATAGTCCAACTTGCTTCACTTATTCATGTTCATTATTCCATTTCTGTCAAATGCCAGGGTCTCGTCTTTTATGGCCTAGCAGTATTCCATAGTGTATATATGCCATACTTTTTAAATCCATTAATCCGTTTGTTGACATTTGGGTTGGTTCCATGTCTTAGCAATTATGAATAATGCCACAGTAAACATGGATGTGCAAGCATTTTTCTGCCTGAGTGTATTCCTATCCTTTGGGTAGATACCCAGGAGTGGAATTATAGGATCATATGGTAGTTTATTTGTAGGTCTTTAAGGAATCTCGGTATTGTTTTCCAAAGTGGCTGTACTAATTTACATTTCCACCAATAATGTAGGAGAGTTCTCTTTTCTCCACAGCCTTGGCAGCTCTTACCATTATTTTATTAATCTTTAGCCACTATGACGGGTTAGGTGGTATCTCATTGTGGTTTGATTTTTATTGTCCTTTTGATAAGGAATGTTGAGCATTTTTGTATATGCTTTTTGGCTGTTCATATATGTCTTCCTTAGAGAGTTGCCTGTTCAGCTCATTTGCCCATTTTTTAATTGGATTTTTGTTTGTTTGCTTGTTTGAGGTAAGCTGTTTGAATTCCCTGTATATTCTAGTTAGCAATCCCTTATCTGAGGCATAGTTTAAAAATATATTCTCCCATTCTGATGATTGTTGATTCCTTCTAATTAGTGTTTCTTTTGCTGTGCAGAAACTTTTTAACCTGATATAATCCCACTTGTCTATTTTGGGGATTATTGCCTGTGCTTTAGGGGTTTTCAGTCTTTTTTCTAATTCATTCCAAGTCCAAAGATGGCTCTCATAAAGAGATTCCCAGAAAAATAGGGTCATGACCAAGTAGAAATCTAGTAATGATGTTAAGAGCCATCATTAGTGGGTAGCCCACGGTCTGTCAGGCACAGGATTGGTAGTTATTTTTTTATTTCATCTTCATAGCAGTCATGTGTGGTAGATGTCACCATCTTGTTTCAGAGAGAAAACTGAACCTGAGGGTTAAGGGAGTTAACTAACTTGTCCTTGATCACAGAGCTAGAAAATGGGTGAGGCAGGATTTGAAAATGGAATCCTTTAATCACTATCTTATGGTACATTCACAGGCAATACTGCAATGTAATTATGTCCATTAGATTTAGAGTATGCTTAGTATCGAGTAGTGTTTTTACCTTAGGCAAGGAGGGGAAATCATTTTAACCTTTAACACTTAACCTCTTTGCCTTTTGTGCATCTACTCCTCCAGGACTCAAGCCCAGAGGGTTCGGAAGCCCCGTTGCTGCACAGGGCCCCAGGGGCTGCTTCCCCGCTACAACGAGAGCCAGGCAGAAGGGCAGGAGCAGCTCTTCAAACTAACCGACAACATCCAAGATGAATTGTAAGTTGGAGGCGTGAGAAACAGCCCTGTGGGTCCACTGTCTTTTCTTAGAGTCTGAAAAGTTTCTGTGTGACCTGAGTATCATCATGTCTCTCAGACTTCAAAACCGGATTCTTCATCCCAAATGTTTTGCAGCTTTAGGTATAGTGTTTGTGAACAGCCTGTACTTGAAGGAATGGTTTTCAGAATGTCCCATGGCAAGACGTTAGTGTTTTGCTTCTAGAAAATGACCTCTTTCTAGATTGTTCAGAGAAGATAAGAGATAAAGTGTACCCAGTTTGAAGGTTTCCCCTCTATAAATTTTTTTAAACTTGTTGTTTGTTGTGAAATGCTAGCAAATAAACCAGATAAATACTAAAGAACTAGTCAATACATTTTGGAAGTGCAATTTTCTTAAGGTTGTTTTGTTGCTCTTAAATACAGAGCCTGTATACCTGAAATCTTGTCACATTTTTAATTGGTAAAATAATTCCTAGTTGATAGGATAAAAATTAGGACTTTATGATATTCTGCTGAGACCCGTATCCTTATACTGTAAAGTGCTCTATAACCTGAGTAGGTGTTAGAACCATCAGCCCAGAGAAAGCAGTTAGTTATGTCTGGTGATTAGGCAAAATGTTTTTTTGATTTCTGGAAGGGTTCTAGGAATTGTGAGTGCTTTTGGCCAGAAGAAAAGTATCTGAAGCAGAGGCCAACTCTCAGAATGGTCGTCAGAGTCATTGTGAGAGACAGTGCTAGAGAGACCTCTTCTCAGACTTTTTGTAGCAGTATTTGAATGGAGATGACAAAAATCAAATCCAGAATTCATTCATTGCTTGCAATAGGGTGGCATCTTCCTAAATGTGTCTTGTAACCTAGCCCTCCCGAAATGTTATTGGAGGATCTCTCGATATCGGAGGTACATTTCGTTGTCTTAAATTGCTCAAGTTGCCATAACAAAATACCATACACTAGATGACTGAACAGCAAAAATGTATGTTACCACATTTCTTGAGGCTGAGAACTCTGAGGTCAAGGTGCCAGTTGATTCTGTGTCTAGTGAGAGCTGTCTTCATGGCGTGCAGATGGCCACCTTCTCGCCGTGTGCTCACATAGCAGAAAGAAAAAGAACTCCTTTGCTTTTTTAAATGTATGCATTTATTTCTTTCATGAGCAAGAGTAATGGCAAGACAGCATGCCCCAACAGGACTTTTACCCATGAGCCACCCCCAACTTCAGTGATCCCTACATCCTGGCATACTCAGGGAGGTGTTGGGTTGTGAACTGGAACTTTCAACTGTGAAGGTCAGCTTTACAGAGCATCATGTTTACTGCTGTACCACCATCTGACCCCTCTAGAGTCTCTTATTAGTCCCTAACCTTATGACCTCACTGCACCTCGAGTACTTTCTTACTCTAAGTAGTCACATTGGGGGATCGGGCTACAACCTACAAAGGGTTGAGGGCACCTGGGCGAGGGACAGTGTGGCTCATAGCATGCAACGTTCTTAGGTTCTGCTGTTTTATTCTGTCTCGGCTTCAGTCATCGTTCTGATCCCCAGCATCTCCATGCAATTTCTCTCTAGGGAAGACTTTTTAGTCCTGCCCTCCTTGGGATGGGATTTGTGACTGTGGCAGCCCTTCATGCCACTTTGCTTATGGATTGGAGGCCCAGGGAGTCCTTTCTCAGGTCTCACAGAGTATGGTTCAGAGTCTACCAGAATGGTAGCCTATGGGGGCAGGAATTTTTGTCGGTCCCATTCACTGGATAGTCGTCAGTATCTATAACAGTACCTGGCATATAATAGATGGTAAATATAGCTGGGTCACTGCAGTTTAGAATTGTATTAATGTGTGCCCACTTTTCAGTCATCTGGGGTGTTTTTAGTCAAAGATTAAGTGAGATTATAAATTATTATGCACCATTCTTTTCATTTCCTCCCCAGCTCACCTCTATTCAAGTTGAACTATGTCTGGTCTTCCTAAAATTTATTTGCAAGAAAATGACATGGGCCAGAAAGCACAGGGGAGAAATGTTATAGTACGGCAAACATAGGCTTGCTCCCAGTGAGGTATACACATTGAAAACAGAGCCAGGAGAGCTGAAAAAGCTATCAAAACCAAACTACTAACTTAGATCTCATGACACTCTTGAAATTTGTATGAACTAGGAACAGATATTGGCATGAATGAATTTTGACTTTAAAGATGAAAACCATGTGTCTTCACCCAAGTCGTGAACTAAGTCTCTCTGGTGAATGGTGAAAGAGGCACATGACCATCACCTTCCTCAGCATACAAGGAAGAAGTCCTCAGGGAATCTGGCCAGTGTTTCTCTGAAGTATCCTCAGTTGTCAGGCTGGATCTCCTCTGTGTGTGACGGGAACATAGCAGTCATCACTTTGCAAGAAAGGGGTTTTCAGGAGAAGTACACAAGCACCAAATTAGGCCACTAACTTTTATCCTGGATTTGTAATTAAAACCATGTTTAAAGACCTAATTATTTGCATATTTCCCTTCAGATTTAACCCCTTAAAAGGGTCTTTAATACCTTGCTCTACTGTTGTAGCTAAATGTTTCCACATTTTCTTCCAGTTAGACTCACTGTTTCACTTCTGGAAAATATTGTGTAATTACTTCCCGATGGAGTGAAAACCCCACAAAGTCTCTGGTACCATAGTGACCAACTGTGTGCTCTCAGATCAAATTGCATGTGTGTTTTTTTGTTGTTGTTTTGTTTTTTATTGATTAGTATTAAAAGGATAGTTACTAACGTATGATTTAAGGTCTAGCAAGCTGAAAACGCTTCAGTTTCAAATTAATCAAATATTCCTCTGGTGTGTTTTAGAGTTACCATTGCTTCCCATTTTTCTCAATTTTGGTTTAGAAATAGGATATTGGGTCAAGATGATATTAAAGTAAAAACTTGTCCCACATGATTAATTTTTCTTTCTAACTGAAGTCTAATTTATAGTCAGAAATGTGATTTTCATTTTAAAAAGTATTCATTTTGTTTGTAACATTTGTGAGCCACCCTGGTACGGCTCTTACCTTTCCTACAAAGACGTTCACCAGCAACCCACACGAACTAGGACTGGATTGCATTTTTTAACTGTGGTTTTGGGGCCTGCTGTGGTGTCACCGCAGTAGTGCAACACTCCTTGTGCTGTACCCACATGGCCAGGGCCCAGGTTCACGTCCTGAGGTCTCCCTGTGCAAGCCAGGAGTGTGCCTGTGTGCCATGGTCTGGACGAGCTGACTTCGATCCGTGCGAAGGCCCTTTGGGATGTTTCTCTTGCCTTCCCTTTCTGTTTCCCCCATCTCTCGTGGGAGAAATAAGTCAATAAAATTTTATTTAAAAAAGAAAGAAAAATGTGAGGCCAGCAGGTGGTGCAGTAGTTAAGGTGCTGGATTCCTTCATGGCCAACTGGAAGCAGGGAGAGGAGAGGAGAGGAGAGGAGAGGGGAGGGGAGAGGAGGGTGGGAGGAGAGGAGGAGAGGACAGGAAAGGGGAAGAGGGGAGAGGAGGGGAGGGGAGAGGAGAGGAGGGGAGAGGAGGGGAGGGGAGGGGAGAGGAGAGGAGAGGAGGAGAGGAGAGGAGAGAAAGATAAGAGATGAAACTACATTCCAAACTGTAGTTTTAGGAAGTAATATGAAGAAGATTTGTCTTAATACAGAAAAGGGTAAAAAAGAAAACAAAAAATAGCCTGTGAGCCTGCCAGCCAGGTTAAGTCCTTTTTTCCTTTTAAAGAAATAAATTCATGCACAGTTAGTGAATTTTTAAATTTTTAAATTCTGTACTTTTAAGAACAGAAAGAGATAAAAGTTAGGGTGGATGTCTCTCTCTCTCTCTTTTTTTTTTTTTTGGCCCCTTTATAAATACAATGTGTCTGATATTTTGTATTTTGTCCATGCATTATTATTATTTTTGCCAGTGAGCATATACACTCATGAGAGAAAGAAACAGAAAAAGAGAGAAGGCACCCCCAATGGGGTGAGATGGTGCTGCAGTCCTGTTTCCTCCCTTTCTTCATCCCACCAGGATTTGGGCTACCAGGGCTAGGATTCACACTGGTCAGCCATGTGAGATAGGCTTTCTTTGTACAGCTTTTAACCACTGCACTGCAGTCAGTCCCGAATTTTAAAAAGTTTTCACACCGGCTATGATACTGACTCTATATTAATTAGTATATAACTTTAAGTATGAATGTTATATGAACAGTCTCAAGACAATCCTTCTGAGGAATGACATAGAATTTATTGGCTTCCCTTTTTAAACCAGGAAATACTCTATCAATAACTCATAAAACTTAGAGAATCAGACATTCTTTGATATGCCACTGAATTAAAACTTGTGTTTTACAGATTATTCAGCTTCTCTGATAAAAGTTAATGGCTTGCTAAATCCTTAATAAGTAAATCAAGACTTCTAAGAGAATTCTTTAACTTTAACACTAAGTAAATAATGTGTCCAGCATCCAAAGTTGCATAGGTGCTGGCAATTTCCAGTGTAACTTCACTATCATTTTCTAAGACTCCCTAACATATAAATTGTTACATTCTGCTCTATGTCAAGATGAGTGAGAAATTTGCTCTGTCCTCAGCAAGTTCAGAGTCTGGCAGAGATTGCAGACTGAATATGAACAACTACCTATCACATGTGATTGCTGTCAACTTATAAGTGTGAGCAGTGCCTTATGGGACCTCAGAGGGGAAGGAGTTCATTTATGCCTGGAAAGCTGAAGAAAGCTTCACCAAGAAGGCTGTGGACAATCCTGGCCATGCAGGAGGAGGAGGAATATACCAAGGAGGGAAGGGAGAAAGGCATGTAGGCAGAGAGCAGTGTTGGGCAAGCACATGGGGCAGACAAGCTCATGACATGTCTCGAGAATTTGGATCAGCAAGTGCAGCAGCAGCACGTGTGGGAGGGAGGAACAGAGGCTGCAGAGCTGGAAAGGCGGGTTCCAAGGGCAGGTTCTGTCCTTGCCCTCCTATAAGCACTGGTGAAATGTCGAAGGGGAT